AGTCGATTGAGCTATGCGGGCTGGCTCACATACATGTATGTATTTGTGAAGCAGTTAAATACTGAGTTGCTGTATGTCGCTATGGAAAGTGTAGGCAAAATAAACAACTGTTAGATAAAATTGTTATAGGAACATCAACTATTTCTGTCTTAATTGATATTAAATTATTATTAATATAATATAAATTCAAATATAATATGCAGCATGTGCAATATTGATATTGTTCACTCTCTCTTTTTGCTGCAGGTGGTTATAATAATACATGTATTTCTATCATGTTGACAATATTTATGTCAGAAACACTGCCATTTATTGTGAAAGATTTGCTATGAAATCGGATGTACTTTTACTGTTTCTGTATGGATTTTGTTTTTAAGTTCTGGATTTAAACATATTTTTGTGGATTCATTGTATATTAAAATCAAAGCTGAAAGGTAATGTTTATAATTCCTTCTGACCAAAGTCCATCCCAAGAACGTTAAAATCCCAAAGTTATAAAATCAAAACACCTTTTCCGTCAAGCACTTGTTTAATGAGGCGTAACAAAATAATGAGCACGCATACGCATTATGTAAATAGGCGGAGTCCATTAAATCAGCATATTTAACGTATAAATTTAATACATACAGTTGAGTTACAGCACTGTATAGTAAATATTTCGACAAAATTTAAACAAAATAGAGCGATTTCATCGGCAGAGAAACTTTGGCAAACTGTAAGTAACAATATAACAATAAATAAACGTAAATTTCTTGAAGATCTACAAGCGGATCTTACTTATCATGTAGATTCTAGAATCTATGGTGGCATATTTCTGCCACCAGATAACCATAATTATAACTTACTAGTTAATTAAGAGGTTAACTAGTTACGTTACTAGTTAACTAACATATATATATATACTACATGTAGTAGTTGAAATATATCCGGTACGATCCCTGGGTTGAGAGGAAAACCACTGGGCCATTGCTTTCATTTTTTTACCATTTTGTGGTTGATAATAATATCATTAATATGTTAATATTATGCATGTGCAATGCAAACATTAAATATAAATATTAATTGTTTATATAATATAGGCCTAGCCATCGCCTGCTCAACGCACACCTTTAGCACGATGTGCACACAAACTTTGAAAAAATCAAGGTAAGTGGCTTTAATCACCATTAAGTGGCTTTAATCAATGGTGATGTCTACATTAAATTTCTGTAAGTCATTTTCTAAAATCAACACCGAATTTCGACATGGCAGAAGTTAAACGAAATACCCTGTCTTGCGAGCCTATACAATTCAATGTGTACCCTGTCTTGCAATTACAAGCACATGTTACATGTTACTTCCGATCACTGTGTCTTTCTTGGGGGGGCCTATATATTTTAACTTGAACCTTTCTTGAGAAAAGAAGAAGCATACTTATTTATAATACTGAGTTGTTATAGTGTATTTATTTTCTCAGCTCAATAGGATGTATTTTGAGAGTAGGCGGGCCGGTCGGATCTATAGGAGCGTAACTTCTGCTCATCCTAGCGGGTGGATGACGGGGGAGAATTTCACGACCTATATCAAACATTTTGCTTCGCATGCAAAACCTTCCCTTGAGAAAAAAGTTTTATTGTTATTAGATAACCACGATTCTCATATCAGTATTGAGACACTAAACTTCGCAAAGTCAAACGGTATTGTAATGTAATCGTTCCCTCCACATTTGCAGCCATAAATTGCAACCACTTGACAGATCGGGTACGTCAATGAAACTCAAGATGCGTGGATGCGCAATCACCCAGGAAGCACTATGACAATTTACGATATTCCTGGACAGGTCAAAACAGCATGGCCTTTAGCTGCAAAGCCTACCAATATCATGAGTGGCTTTCAAGTGTCTGGTGTCTATCCTTTTGATGTCAATGTATTTGGAGAGACCGAATATGCTCCTTGTAGTGTTATAGATAGACCTTTTCTAGACGAAACATTGAATGCACCTACTGTCTCGCCTACTCATGCCGTGTGCACCTAAGGAACTCTCCATAATACACTTCCGTATAATACGAATCGGTGGCAATCCTGGGACGAAATAAATCGTTTTATGAATGAAAATGGCAGAGAAGTTTTTCCTGTTGCGAGTGATGGACACTGTCTATTGCACGCCGTTGAAAAGTGCATTGCCTTTGAAGGGGTAGGTCAAGCAACACATGAGGAACTGTGCGAAGGACTTGTCAATGAAGTAAAAAACCACATTGACTATTATGACGACTTCACGACCGACAACCAGGACGCCATTTCAGACATTTTGAATTACGTATATGACAAAAAATACAACACAAATACTGTTGATATGGTTTTGTCGGCTTTTTGCAACCTGCTTGGTGTGTCGGCCATTGTGTACAGATTCGGGGACGATGGTATGAGCATTCATGGAATGGGTCCTGGAAGACCAGGTGTCGTGTTTAACGGCGATATCCATTTAGCTTTGAAGGGAGACGGTGTAAATGCGCATTACAATGCCCTCAGACTCATTGACGACGGAACGGCAGAATCGACAGAAACATTTACTGCCGAGCCTTTATTTACACCTGAAACAATTCGACCACATCCCAAAGCACCACCGCGTAAATCTTCAAAAGGTCGCTCTAAAAAGAAATCGGCCATTCTTACAGACACTCCTGAAAAGAAAAGAATTGAAGGGGAAATACTTGTAAGAAGTCAGAAAAAGAAGAGCCTTCCTACGAAGAAAAAGAGCCTTCCAAAGAAAAAAGGAATCAAAAGGAAGAGTAAAAATGATACCTCTGAAGAGGAGGAATGGTTCTGTTAAGTTTGCTCAGAGCCTTATTCTAATAGTCTGCCACGCGAAAAATGGATCCGATGTTTCGGCTGTAGGGAATGGGCTCATCAGGAATGCACAGGACTGAATAAAACGCAGACATACATTTGTCAGAATTGCGAATCCGATGATGACTTGTATATTTAAACACATAGCATAGTGTCTAACCGTCATTCTGACGTATTCAAGATAAATTGACTAGCATAAAACTGAGCTTGAAACTTTTCATTTTATGAACGGAGATTATTTGATTTGTGTGACTGTTGTTAATGTTTTAAGTTTTGAAAATTCATTTGAGCTATCAAATTGTATAGGAATTGTGCAAAATACTAATAGATCTATCTAATATGTAGCACCCAAATAATTTATATGATTGAAATACTAATTTTGAGAGCTATTAATCTTACTGTATCATCTTGCCCCGAGCACGGGGCAAGATGATACACTCGACCGGCCTTATTAAATAGATTATTTCTCGTATCTAAATAAGTTATTTCGAAATGTGCTTACTTAAAACAAAAGCCAATATATGGATGTATATTATTATGCAACAAAGAAAAAAACTCTCCAATAGATAAAGAGAGAGAAGGCAAAAAGTTAAAAAGTGGATCATCTTGCCCCGGTCTCCCCTACAGTGCAAAAATTTGACTCAAAACAACGTACAATTTGATATGAATGAGTGTTAGTTTAATACTGTATTTTATTGAACGATTTGAATAAAATAATAATATGCGAGCCTCTGGCGAGCATGATATCATTTTATTCAACAAGTTCAATATAAGATAAGATAAGATATAGTTTATTATCGTGACATATGCATAAATGACATAGATACATAATATACAGATGAAAGAAAAGGCACCCGGCCCTTTGGGCCTATATGTCACCGGGAAATCAATGATGTCATTATTTACATAATTCAACAAAGTTACTTCTTTTATACATAGGATGATCTGAAGTACATGTACAAAATACTGGTAATATATTTTCTTACGTTATCAACAACTAATTAGTTACTATGTAAAGGTACTTTGAGCGACATATTACAATTATTGTGCTTATTATTATACATATATAATTTAGGCGACATATTACAAATATTGTAATTATCATAATACATATATATATATATACATTATTCAAGTATATAGCATTATATACATTTAAATTTCATATACAACACTCGTTACTGAGAAGATTGGGATTTGGAAAACAATTTACTTTTGAAAGTTTATATCACTTAGCGTTAGTTATTGAGAGGAAAACCACTTAATTTGTTAATTAACTAACTCTAGTTAGTTATATGGTTATCTGGTGGCAGAAATATGCCGCCATAAGAATCTATATAAATTAGATCTAGTTCTATAAATATATTAGAATTTAGCCAAACTAAAATAAAGTTACTGTAGACATGATAAAAAAATTAAAGAGAAGATGAAATAAAATCTAAAAATAAATGTTATCGGCCAATTTCCGCGCAATAAAGTACATATACAATGACGTCACTCACTTTAAACACTGTGACGTCACATTATTTGTTTGTATTTTAGTGAACGGTTTTTCCTCTTAACATCTCCGGAGTCGTCCTTTCAAACAGCTGCGCTTCTCCCGGACCGTATCGGTCATATTGTTATAGCTAGTGGTTAGGAAAGGTGAGATTGTTCAAACTTAATTATGCATTTTTTATTCTTATGAGTTTAAATAGTTTACTGAGTTTCAACTGCCTACAATGTTGGTGTGTATCCTTACGGGTGGCCATGAAGGCATTCATGAGTCGTTACCTTAAGCATTTTACATTGCTAGTTGGATGCAGTATATTTTCTGTTTACCTTTTGCATATGCATTAAATTTACTTATAGATCTATGTTTTAAAAATATCCAACTGTTTTCTTTCTTAACAAACGTTTGTTGAGACTTTCTGACCACAGGGACTCGGCACAGTGACAGTGTTTGGTCTAGAAAAAAATACTGTTAAACTACATGTATTATATATACAGTACAGTACAGTAGATCTATATCGCTATTTTTTTCGAGAATTACTTTTTACACTAGATTCTACTGTAACATAAATGTGTATGTCAGAACCACAGGGACTCGGCACAGTGTTTGGATAGTGTAATTACTTTTTACACTTTCCCAAAAGTGTGCCAAGTCCCTGTGTTTCTGACATACTCATTTAGGGTGTTGACTCAAGGACAGGGACGAATTTAGAGCATCAGGCGAGTCACGATATATCTGTTAACTAAGATAAATAAATTTCAACTTGTAAAAGTTAGAATCTACTTCATTGCATATGTTAGATTTCTTCAATGATATGTATAATTAAACAATGACATGAAAATAGGGCAATATAAATCCAGGTTCCACAAGCTTACTGTATCATGATATGGGGTGGTAGATCATGTAGGATTTTTTCTTTCATAATTTAAGAAAGGTGAATGAGGTTAGAACTTGAACTGATCAGATTATTTTATCAGATATTATTTTTGTCTGCCTAGATCAGTCTATCATTCGGACAATAAATAGTCACTGATACAACCAGTCAACGATATTAACGCCTAGGCCTATATTCAATAAGAATATGACATTGTATCGGAATTCCGAGCCTGTAGGTATAATGCTTACTCTGAAAATCCGTGGTTTGAGTTTATGACTGCATTTGCTAAATAATATTATAATATTGTTTGTTGTAATGGATGTCTAAAATTGAAGAAGAAATGAGCCGCGTCATGACAAAACCAACGTAATGCGTTTCCGACAAGCATGGATCCAGACCAGCCTGCGCATCCGCGCAGTCTGATCAGGATCCATGCTGTTCGCTATCAGTTTCACTACTTGTAATAGAGTTGGTAAGTAATCAGACTGTGCGGATGCGTGGTCTGGATCCATGCTGGTCGCAAACGCACTATGTTTGTTTTGTCGTGACGCGGCCTAAATGGTCAACATGGGTCCACTTTGCTTTTCACGATTTAAGGAGCTCCACTGAGGTTAAAATGCCTAAAACATATTTTTTACATCAAAAAATGAATATCAAGTGAAGCAAATCAACAAAGGATAAAATTCTACAAAGGATAATAAAGTAACAAATTCAAAATCAAATTTAAAATTGATAATTACTAGTACAGTCTAGTGCAATTTTAATTTAGTACATAATATCAACGTGTGTGCGTGCGTGTGTGTGTTTTATTTCCTTGCAATTTAATTTCTTATTTTCTTCTTTCTATTCTAAAAATCACGTCATTCGAAAAAAAGAGAAAGGATGTGAATATCATCTTTAAACTGTGAGGAAAAAATGCAGTTAAATAACTTTAATTACTGTTTTCATTTTATAAGAATCACTATACTGTATACTGTATTGTGTAACGTGCACCATCAAAATTACTGGTCTCCGGTTTTGGGTACTGTAATTGCTTTCGTTGCAGATTGGCTTGCAACAAACTTAAGTTCCGGTCCAATGATTTTTGTCAGAGTAATGGCTCTTTAATGATTTTTATTTTTAATTTTGTCCGGACTACTCCTCTAATACCACAAATGCATTTTCATGAAACTTTAAAGAATTGATTTGTAGCTTAAGAACTCGCGCATAATACACGGATTTTCCGGCTGAACGGTTTTTTGCCGAGTTATGGCCCTTCAATAAAAGTGTTTTTTTTGTGTTGCCAGGTACACATAAACTTCTTTGGACTACTCCTTAGAAACTACTGGTGCAATTTCATCCAAACTTTACAGGAATGACCATTGATACCATTACCAAGTCAAGTTGTGCATAATATCAGCACCTTCCGGTTCAATGATTTTGTCAGAGTTATGGCCCTTTAATGATTTTTTATAATTAAAGTTTGTCTGGACTACTCCTATTATACCACTATGACGAATGCAATTTCAAAATTTCCACAAAACTACAGGATTTACCGGTAGCTCATGTACTTGCACATATTACATGGATTTTATGTTTGAATGGATTTTATGTTTTGAGTAATGGAGTTTCTTCTGTGTGTGTGTGGCAAGCTTGTCTGGACTCCTCCTCAGACTACTGGTGCAATTTCATCCAAACTTTACAGGAATGATCATTACCAAGCCTATATAGGTGTTCACATCATTGGCATATTGTTGTTTCATGATTCGTGTCAGAGTTCTGGCCCTTTAATGATTCTTATTTTCAAAATTTGTCCAGACTACTCCTCTTATAGCACTTATGAAGCTTTACTTGCGCATAGTACACGAGTTTTCCGGGTGAATGATTTTGAGCTGAGTTATGGCCCTTGAATAAAAACGTGATTTGCCCTGTTAATTAATTTTGTGTCTCCTGCTACACAGAAGCTGCAACATACAATTGGCTATCATGACTAATAATGCGACACATGTGATCACATATCGCTCTTTTATATATAGGATCAGTTTTTTGTGTTTGTCCAACTGGATCCAGTTGTTCAATACATTGATAAAATCAATAAGCACTGGCTAAAGTATGTCTGTTGGATAAATTATGTTGCTCAAAAGTTATATAACGGATAAAATAATGCGTAATCCAGTGGTTAACATTAACCAGTCTATGACCACCGGGTAATGCCCTGATCATTCGGACAGTTGAAATCATTAAAATATTTTTGATATTAGAAAATTTCCCATGAATTTCATATGATTAAATTGAAACATTTCTAAAAATATGCCTTTGGGACCTTTTTTTTAAATTCAGTTTGTTTTGTTTGCAAAATTCAATTAAACAATCATAATTTTCTTATTTTTCAACAAAACATATTACTCATGTTCTTAGTTTAGAACATAAACCATCTAACGAAAGCGGGTTTTATTCAATTCAAAAAAGGGGGAAAAAAGAGTTGTTTTTGATTTTGTGTGTGTGTGTCTTGGGGAAAATAGACCTATCTATACTACAAAGCTTTTTGTTTCATTAAGCACAAAACTTATTATTATTTGGGAACTTCCTGATTCTTCAACTTAAACAATAAATCGGCCATTTTGTTTTCTAAATCGCTAACTATCCTTGCCATCCCAGCACCCCCCCCCCCCCCCACACACACACACATGTCCCGATTTACAGAATAACTTGCAAGAAGAAATGCTTAGCCTTTTTTCTGGCCAAGTAAAATTGGATTCGGGCAAGTTGAAATACCATGTTGTCTGCTAGAAAAGGCAAGTTCTTAAAAAAAAAATGTGAACACTGCATGGCGTGCATGCTAACAATGCAGCCCTGTTGCATTGTGGTGCTTAAACACTGGATAAACAATAAGTAGGAACGATACTGAATTGAGCAGAATAATTCAAATTGTGAAGTGTATATTATATGAGAAGAGGTGGGAGTTTGTTAATATACGTGCACTGTTTAGCTATCAGTTTAGATACCAAATTAAATACCGGAAAGATTGCATGTTACGTCATCTTAAACTCAAACTTCTAACTTGATTTAGACATTCGCCTAAAGATAATACAATGAGTATACTTTTTGACATAAAACACTTTTTGACATAAAACATGTTAAACTGCTTTTAGATTAGTTAATTATTTAACGTAAAGACTTTCAGCTCATATGCTTGCGAAATTTCGTTAAAGATCGCCATTTTACGTTCTGTGAACCCAAACTGCTGCTGGAAAAAAATTATATAATCATATATGGATTGATCATTCCAGAACAATTTTCAAAATGTAGTTTCTCAATTTAGTGTAGACTTTGTTTTCTATTCACATCTTGTAGGTGTTTTCTGGTATTTTATTGTTTGTGATTGTTCGTTGTTTAATATTTGTATACCATCTAGAGTGGCAGTGACAATCTCCTACACAGTGATCTCCCCTTATCAGTACAATCTGCCAAGGGAGGTAATCACTGTTAGGAGTTTTGGGCAATGATATCTAAGACACCGTACCATAATATTATGTAAAAAAACAAAAACACTTTTCACTGGGAGCTTCATATGAGTTTACATGTTCACCATAGACTTAAATGTGAAGAAAATCCTATGCTACCACCCCATGTAAAAGGGAAAAAATCAAAGGTTTTTGTTTATAAAGTTAACTTCTTTGGTATATGATTTTCAAAACTGACACATGTACAAGTAAGCCTTAATGTTGCCTATATTTCAGATAAAGACTAAGTGAGTAAATGTCAGAATTTGTTCATCGGGAAATGAATTTAAAACAAATAAAGCTATTCATTTTTATGGATTTTTGTTAAATAACTTTCGTTAGTTTCATCGATCGATCGATCGATCGAGAGAGAGAGAGAGAGGGAGAGAGAAAGGGGGAGGGAGAGAGAGAGAAGAGAGAGAGAGGGAGAGAGAAAGGGAGAGGGAGAGAGAGAGAAGAGGAAGAGGGAGAGAGAGAAGAGAGAGAGAGGAGTGGTTATGGAAAGGGGTGATAGTATTTTGGAAACCTCCTCGCTGTCTAGTCTATGGTTGAATATGTTTATTTTCATATGAAAGATCCGGTGATAGTCTGTATCGGCTTGCGGTTGAAAGAGCATGCTGTGCTGTGGAAAAGCGTAAGTATACATGTATATAGTGTTTAATTCTTTTTTTCCACTCAGAAAAAATGTATAGAGGATATTCAAGTTTTTTTTCTATAAATACAAGATTTATTTTCATCCAGTGGTATGAAAATAAATATTTCATGAGTGGCGGTAGCCGCGAGTGATATATTATAATTTTCATACCACAAGATGACCCGACCACTTTCCTTAATTCACCCATTATACACAAAATTAAAGGAGAATCTTTAGAATTGTAAGGTCAAAAAGTAATAAACAGAAAATTCAAGCTAGCCTAGCGGCTCGGGTTATATTTCCAAACAACCGTTTATATTATTAGGGTCATATAACCTGTCTTAATCGTTGACTAATAATATTGTGTACATGAATAACTTTCATCTGAATTTCATGCGGTTGCAAAGGTCGGGCGTTATGTGATTTTTGCATGATTTTAATCGAACAGTCGCTGTATTTTTTTCGGTAGAATCGGTAATTTAGATAACTTTGTATGTTTAAACATTAAATACAAATAGTCTATGATAATTTAAATAAATAGATTCTTACGATAAAAACGCGAAGACTTGTGAATAAAACGAGAACGTGGCAAGTTGACCGTCATTCAAATATTTGGCAATGCTTCTGTCGTCTGCACAAAAGTTACGTTAAGATTTATAACTCTGTCTGTTCTCTTACTGACAGATCATAGTATTCTTTCCCTTGCAATGTAAAATTCGATCATTTATGAGGTTTAAAAGTATCTAATATTACGTTATATTTACTACACAATCTACATGTATTATGTTTTATATATAATAAAATGTAAACGGATTTATAAATGTTTTGTTAAGTGGACACAAGTAGTCCAAAGATATCTCGGTGTTAAACCAATACAAGTACAATTATATCGATTGATTTAACATTTCATTCTTTGTGTATTGGAAGTCGTTACCAACAAAATCGTGTATGTTTATTTAGCAAACAAGTTTGAAACATTTTACCAGGATATTGTTTGGAATAGTAAATAATTAGTGAAAATCGTTCAGAAAAGCACGTTTTCTTTCGGAAAAAAAAATTAGCAATTGAAAAGTGTGCACTAAACTGACTAGCCAATCAAATCAAGGTTTACAGTCACGCGCTTACTTGGTAACCACTAACAATCGAGAATAGTGTTTTATAGTTCGGCTCACATCCAGGTTTTTACAATATGTACAGAGGCTACGTAACCCAGCTCGATTCACAGTCGACGCAGAGTCAGCAACAAGTACAGAGCTCACAACCCAGCGGCAACAATATGGCTGATGACGAACAACAGTGGAGAAAACAATGGGTATCTAAGAAGACTGAAGAACTTTGGGCGGCTCTGGAGAAAGGTGGTTCAAAATCTCTTTTAAAGCAGCATTTGACAAAGGATGTTTATGAAAAGCTGAAGGACAAGAATACGGATTTGGGAGGAACACTTGCACAATGTATGAGTTCAGGTAAGAACATTACATTTATTTATTTTTGCAAATAGAATTTTATCTTTTTTTTCACCGGTAACCTAGGCTTAAATTATTTATGTGTTTGCAGTATAGTGTATTGACATTTAAATCGTTTGTCCTTTTGCGACCTCTAAGTGTCTAATATTTAGATATGTGATATCGAATGCAAATTTGATGTAACAAAATCAGTTGTTCGAATTCAATACTAAATCTATCGATTTGAATCTATTGAAATATCTTTTTAAGTTAATTTTTAAAACTGGTAAACTTCTATATGTTTATTTCAAAAGATACATTGATTTTAAAGCAATCCATTATCCACAAATATTTTATAATAAATGACTACTATTTGCATACAGGGATACGTAATTTATGGATTACGCAATATATTGTCCTTTGTCAATTGAATAACTGCAATTTTTTATAACGTTTAATCTTTAGTTAACATTGAAATTGGTATAACTTGATTATTCACTAATCAATTCTTGAGAACAATCAAGTAGGCTATAAACTCGTTCTTCACATGTTAAGCTTTTTGATACGTTTTATAGGAAAAGTGAACTCAATGCGTGTTATGTTTATCGTCTGCCGCACAGAAATTTTGACGTGTATTGGAATTCAATGTAAGGATATGGCATTTCCCCTGGAAATGAATTAAGTATATTCTATTTCCAGTCTCTATTGTACCGCTCCTATAGCAACCGATACAGCACTTAGAAATAGATTTTTGTTCACCTATATATCCAACAGCTGAAATAAACTAAGCTCAATATGAGAGGATGCATGTAGACATCATATAATTTCACCTTTAATGTTTGTTTCCGCGTCCTTGTAAGACCGCAATGAGTAATGTTATATACATGTATTGTGTTGAAATATTCGCATAACGCATATAGCAGGGATGGTTTCAATGATAAATGAACAGTAATTTGACCTTTGTTTGACGGACGCTCAAACAAGATGTCGCTCAACTCGATCACTGGAAATCCGTATAATTCTTCATGCCTCGTTGGTAAACATGTAGCGTCCTTTTTCCTTTAGAAAAAAAATGTGTAAACTAAAAGTGTAATGGTGAATTTGACCTCTATGATGTACTGTTGCAATGTTCACATACACTGGCGTATTAATGAATACAGACTTTAATGTACATATGAACAATAAATCTGTCGGAAACATTGAATATAATTTATTAAATCAACGGGAAAGAAGCCGTTTAAAAGCTATGCTAATTTATGTCCCGAGTTATTTTAATGAACATTTAAATTTGCAATGTATGCATAATTATAACATTGTGAGATTAAGCGTTTCTAAATCTGTTATCTATTTAAAACCGGAATTTGTCATTTTGTTATCCGCCACATGTATATACTGTTAAGGTCATTTCAATGTTGCGATATCCAATTGCATGCGTTGATTTATATTCGTAAATAGTTAATGAGTGTAGGTCTTTACCACAAGATCTTTCAATGTCACATTGAAAATATTAAATATCGCCTGATCAAATTATTGACTTAACACAATGACAATGGTTGTCGGTCTATACTTGAATGAAGTATAATCTCGGTCATAATTCATAAAACATTATGATTAAATCTGTAATAAGTTATATGTATGAGCCTATATTATATGCAAAACAGCCCAGATTAACTGGTTTTATCTTGATAAGCTTTGCCATCTATTAAAGATTTGTGCCTATAGGATAAAGTCGAGTAAATTGATTAGTTCACAGCAGAATAAAAACCCTCTGTATACCTGTTTAAACGTTTAACTGTACATCAAATCTACGCGGAACATACCTGATTTTTTCACTCTGACGTTCAACGTGGATTTTTGCCAAAAAGATCTTTACAGAATTCGCTTAACAAAATGATATATTGACCTTGTAATAATAGCATATTCCATTCTTTCTATTTGCCCTGTTAATGACCCAAGTAAGGGAATTCTTTATGGTTTGGTAACCTTATATCATTGATTTTCAAGTTTGAATAGAACGTGAAAATTTCTTTCTTGGCTTCGGAAGATGTCGATATTTCTGAACGACTTTCAACCATCGCACGTATTAATATTAACTATTTGTTGGTATTTCGGATTCATTAAAAAATATTGATATGTTTTGTCTTTAGAATAATGTTTCTTAAACCGGTACCTATAGTAAAATTAATGTTGAATTTTCCTGTTGTAAGCAAATTATCGTCTACCCCCGCTGCGCCTTGTGGGTTTTAGCCCGATAACAAGAATGTTAACGAGACAAAACGTTTCCATTATAAATGTTGTCACATTAACATTGTGCTATTGTCGTAATACATGAATAGTATGTTTAAAGCTTTTGGATCTTTTCCAAATAAATGTACACATGTCGTCTGACATTTGCGCGCCAAAATATTTTTTATTGTCATATGACGCAACTCCTTTAAGATTTATCGTGCATGCCATGATGATGGAGACTTTTTGTGCTTTCTGGAGGCCTTGCGATCCTTATATACATAAAAGCATCTCAGAACAACGTTACAATTATACGCAATGATTACAGTCCAACCAAACTAACTGTATTTACCGTCTATGAATAAAAATCTTTATTTTAAAATTATTGTCTACTCTCAATTTCAGGAGCCCTTCATCCGGGGAGCAAGGTCGGTATTTATGCCTGCGATCCCTCTGCATACACATCAGCCGGATACAAGGAGTTGTTTGACAAGGTCATTCAACACTACCACACCGGCAAGGCCGACGGAAACGTGAAACATCCCCAGCCTAGCTTCGGAACTGACGCTGAGATTGATAGTCTTGGAGATCTTGACCCCACTGGTTATTTCGTCAAGTCGACTCGTGTCCGTGTTGCCAGGAGTCACAAAGGCATGCCATTCCCTCCAGCTGCCAAAAAAGAGGTATTTCAATTTTTTTATTTGCGTATAAATTGATTTGCTGGCAGCAAAGTGTGAAGTCAAATTACTTCTTTTTTCGTCAAGTCGACTCGTGTCCGTGTTGCCAGGAGTCACAAAGGCATGCCATTCCCTCCAGCTGCCAAAAAAGAGGTATTTCAATTTTTGGCTGTAACCAAACACATGTACATTGTTTTTCTGCAGTTTTGTTTACATTCTTATAATAACTAATAATACAAAATGGTATGAACTATTCATTACTTATATAAAAAAAAAACAATGTACAGTGTATTTAGACAAAATTTTGCTAGATGTTTTCAAGTATGAGAAATCGGTTGTACGGAGTTTGATCAGCAGGAAATACGAACAGTTAAAGTAAAAATAAGTTAAAATGTACATTTCATAGTACATTGTATATGTATTGTTAAATACTCTTGTACATTTTGTCATTTGCAACAATTAATATTTTGGTATCAAGCGTCAAAAACTGATATTAGAATGTTACATCAATATTTTAGGACTTTGAAAAGATGGAGAAACTTGCTTGTGAGGGTTTGTCCACTTTGACTGGAGAGCTGGCCGGAACTTACTACCCCCTACGTGGAATGGACAAGGCCGTGCAGCAGAAGATGATTGAAGATCACTTCCTGTTCAGAGCAGACGACTCGTAAGATATAATATAGTCTGAAGTTTTCTATAGCAAGCATTTGGCAATAATACACATAATTGACATTTAATGAATGAAGTAATATCATATGAAAATGTTTGCTTTGAATATAAGGCATTCTTTGAAAATAAAAATCATTAAAAATAGTAACATTTAGAGGTAAAAGAAGAAACTTAAGATGGGTCTAAATTTAAACTATTTGACAATCAAAACTTACAATATGGCAAAATTTGAAAGTTTAAATGGTTCATTTATATGTAAAAAATAGCTTTTAAACGAAAGCAAGCATTTAAGGAGTAATATATAAACTCAAAACTGTTTGTTTTCAGCGTTCTGGGTGATGCTGGCGGATACAGTTGCTGGGATACCGGAAGAGGTATCTTCCATAACAAGGACAAGACCTTCCTTACATGGTTGAACGAGGAAGATCACTTCCGTTTCATCTCTATGCAAATGGGCGGAAATCTAGGACAAGTCTACAAAAGACTTGTATCAGTACGTTTTTATGTCACGCATGTATGCCCTAAGGGATTATGTTAGACTAAAAATAACTGCTGCATAAATTAACATCATTTAAGTGTAAGACTGATATAGAAATAGACCATACAGTAAAATGATATGATATTCACCTGTCTAAAATACCATGTCTTAAAAAATCTCAGACATAAAGATAGAGTATAACTTTTATTTTTTATATCCATAGATAATCCTGGTCTTTATAATTATATAACTAAACTTTCATTTTAGGCTATTAAACATATCGAGACCAAGATGGAATTTGCCAAAGCCGACGGTCTTGGTTACCTGACCTTCTGTCCAACAAATCTTGGAACAACCATGAGAGCTAGTGTACATGTACGTGTACCCATGCTCAGCAAGGATCCAAAGGTCCTTAATGACATCTGTGCCAAATACAACCTTCAACCCAGAGGTATGCATGCTTCCATTAGGTTACAGTTGTGTTTCAGTTGCACATTACACACGTTACATATTTATATAAAAATAAATAAGTACTGACTTACAGCGCCAGTTAGTGTTAAGGCCAATTTGGCCCGACTGTAAATGTATTAATTTTTCCTCATTTCTAAACAATTTTTCTCCTCAAAATTTAATAAAATAAAAAAAAATATGGTAAACAAGATCAACGAGGAAAGGTGGCGTTCATTTAACGCAACCCCCACACGACCCAGCAACAAGGAAACCTGTTAAATGTTTTGGAGTGATTAACACTGAGGAAAACAGTATGGATATATGCAGGGTTATCCTAGGTTTCCTGAGATTGAATAGTAAAAATATTGTTTCAAATCTTGCTGTTTTTTTTATTTTTTTCCCAAATTGCCCCCAAATTGCCGAAAACGACGCATTTTGCATTTTCCGACGCATTTTGCATTTTCCGTATATGATGGGCATTGCCAAGTTTCTCAAAAGGAAAAAAACAACCCTTCTATCTTTTCTGAAAAATGTAACTCGATTAGTATGTGTTCAATACATGCAAAAGTATGTAATTTGCACTAACATATTGCTATTATTATTATAAATGTTTCATTCGTTTAAAGGTGTCCATGGTGAGCACTCTGAGAGTAAGGGAGGTGTGTACGACATCTCAAACAAGCGCCGTCTAGGTCTCACTGAATGGGACGCCGTCAATGAAATGAAGAATGGTGTACTAGAAATCATTAAAGGTAGCTATTGTTTGCCTAGGTATTTATATTCCCTGAGTTTTATCTGGTCGTTTTTTTTCTCTTTTTGATAAGAGCAGATATTAAAGAAATATCAATGGCTCTAGACTTAACTTCAGTGCACATTGAATGTCTGGATAAACATAAAACTTTATATTATCAAGGTAGAGATAAAAGCGACCTTGATCAATATTTCAGTATAAATGTTCATATGAGTCATATAAGATATTATGCATTAATTGTACATGCAAACGAGATATTTTTAGATGATATTAGGATTAATTAACGTTGTATCTAAATTGTCAATGCATGCTTCATTAACAATGTGTTTTCAAATTCGCGTGCTATTCCAACTTCACCTGTTCTGCATGTTTCCATTTGGTTAGAGGCCAACTTATTTTTATTCTGAATCTATAAATTGTCTTTTTTTTTAAATATAAATTGTTGATACCTCATTTTTTAATTTTTCTATGTACCATATTGCATATTCCTATAACGTGGCCAAATTATATTTTTTTCATTTGTTATGCAAATCCATTGCCAGCAGAACTTTAATCTATGAAAATTCTGCCAAAAATTGAAATACAGTGTCACCTCCACAAAGCGACCCTCTAGAGCATTTACCTCTTAACCACAGTTTCAGTTCTTCCCAAAATAAGATTTTGTAATAAATTTAACCTCCCTATAAAAACACCTCTTGGCAACAACTAAAATCTTAATCTCAGAAAAGTATTGCTTTGTCGGGGTTGTACTGTATTATTTTTTTCGATTTTTTTTAAACATTGATGCAGTTACATATATTTATATTGGACAAATTATTGTTTACAAACATACTTTGATTCCCGTATATTTTGTGTTTAGCTGAAGCCGCTCTTACTTGGACACCAAAGCCACTGAGCGAATTGTACGAAACTATCAGCAAGAGTGACTCCCCGTCTCTCATGAAGAAGTACCTGACTAAAGAAGTATACGAGAAGTACAAGAACACAAAAACATCCCTCGGTGGAACACTTGCTCACTGCATCAACTCAGGTTCGTTCTTTCAACTATATCAGTTAAAATGGTAGATGTATTCTAGGCGTAATGAGGGTCCATCCGCCCTTTCAAGCACGGAGTGTATGGACCTCGGGCATGTCACAATTCATGTCTATCAACCATGAGGTGTCTGGTGACCTGTACATTTTGAATCAATAATTCACTGAATGATACTAAATATGTATGCAAGTCGATTTTGTGATGATACTTTTTTGAGGTATGGGAGGCCAATTAAAATGTTTCATTGCTAACTTCACAGATAATGAAATTGCTGCAAATGAAAAGTACAGAGATTTATCATGATGGAATAAAATATCACGCACTTATTGATGTTATAGATTAACGAAAAATTTTCATAGTTTTCTTTTCTAATTAAATAATAAAAACATTCTTGTTTCAGGCTGTTTACATCTTGGCAGCAAAGTAGGTATCTATGCCTGCGACCCTGAAGCCTACACAGTATTTGAAGATATATTTAACAATGTAATCAAAGAATATCACAAAGTTGACAAAATTAATCATCCAGTACCAACATTTGGTACGGAGGACCAGATGTCCAAGCTTGAAAATATTGATCCCGACGGTAACATGGTCCTCTCAACCCGTATACGTGTGGCCAGAAGTCATACAAAGTACGCATTCCCACCGGCTTGTACGTCAGAGGTGAGTTCACGTTTATTAACAATTTTTGCCCAATTATGTAAGTCAGTAATTTTTCTCACTTTATTGGGAAAACGCCTTAGCCTTTTTGATTTGAGAAACTATCGGTAAAATCGCTTTTGGAAGTGTAAAAGTCGTTTGGAAGAGACCGTTAAAAGTGAAAAATCACTGACAGTAAACGTTTAGATCTTATAAGGATAAACGGGAGTGAATGATCTGAACTCTTGCACTACATCAAATGGAATATAAACAGGCCATTTTAATTCTTATATTGTAGAATACTTTTGATAAGAATTAGACAGGAAATCTGTTAATTGAATGAAAATTATTAACGAGTGTTTATATTTTATTACTTCTTCAACATTAGGACTTGGAAAACATGGCCGATGACACAGTTAAAGCTCTGAATACACTGACTGGAGAACTTGCCGGTAAATACTATCCTCTTGCTACCATGAGTGAAGGTGACAAAAAACAATTGGTTGAGGACCATTTCCTCTTCAGAGATGACGACGAGTAAGTTTATAGCAAATTTGATTATGTATAAAACCAATACTCTGCTTATAATAGTTTTGTCCCGTTTCTTGTTGTTGGTTCTATTTATTTATGATTGGTAACAATGGATTCATTTACTCATTGTATGCTCTACTTACTTTTTGTTGGCCGCATTATCTGAAGGTTTCCCTCTATTTGCTTATTGTTACCGCTGCGAAATTGTTACACTCACTGTATATATTTCTACACTTATTTATTGAGCCGTGTCATGACAAAACCAACATAATGGGTTTGCGACCAGCATGGATCCAGACCAGCCTGCGCATCCGCGCAGTCTGATCAGGATCCATGCTGTTCGCTTACCAACCCTATTACAAGTAAAGAAACTGATAGCGAACAGCATGGATCCTGATCAGACTGCGCGGATGCGCAGGCTGGTCTGGATCCATGCTGGTCGCAAACGCACTATGTTGGTTTTGTCGTGACGCGGCTCATATATAAAAAATCAAGCGTATAAAGAAAGGTAGAATGCAAGATAATTATATTTTACAAAAAGCAAAGTGTTTATGCTACATATAGGTCTTCACTTTGGTAAACTTTTTGCCTACAAGTTGGTATTTCTAATACTACATAGAGGATATTTGTTTAGTTCAGTGTAAGATCAGAATGGTGTTCACAAGGTGAAATATATATTCGATCTTACACTAAACTAAACAAATTTTCTTTTTATTACATGCAAAGAAACGTTTTAAAAAGACATTAAATCTAATACTGAATGAAAAGCGCGCCAAATGATAATACAACTTGACGTCATTTACGACGTCAAGTCATTAAGTTGGTACCCAGTACTGTGCACGCTGGTATTTCACTGAAACAACGTAAGGGGCATAAATTCAAAACAGTGAAATTATCAAAGTGGTAATTTCACTGTTTCAAACAGTGAAATTACCAGTTTTATATCACTGATATATTTCTATAAACCACCGAAAAGCATGTAATAATACAGAGAATTGGTTGAAACTTAACACACGTATATGAGAGCACAAAAGGAGGTCACCGTCCAATGCCATAAATCAAACTGTTGATTTTGACAGAACCATGGCCCTTTATGAATTTTGTAAATTCTTCATTATTCAAGCTCTTGTTTTACTACCAAGCACTGAGAATAGTCGAGCTCACTTTCTTACAGACAGCTCTTGTTACTGAAAGTGCTCAGAAGTTTGATTATAGGAGAAAACAATAGGATGCGCAAGTTTCTTATTTTCAGAACTTCACCATTCTAATTGTCTGATTTTTTATGATCTTCGTTAAGAGATATCCTTATGATTGCATTGTATATTTTCGGAGATTGTTGGCAAACTAATACAGTCAAGTGGAGTCCACTTGTGGTTTTTATCAGTATAAAATTTGAATTGTCGCCAGATCTTTATTATTCTTGGGGGGATTTCAAAACGATTTAATTTGATCTTAATTTGGCATTGAGATTAACGGTGAAAGAATTAACAACATTTATTTATGTAGTCCTGCATACTTTATTTTTTCTATATTGGATTGTAAATAACCTTGCACAGCACAGACGTACGTACATTAATATGCTGACATAGAATTCTCCATCTTTAATTAAAATATTCATCGATATTTTACAGAAACATTTAAGTTTTCTTATGTATTGTATGTTTTTCAATCATAAATGTACACGTGACGTTAAATGTTACCTCTGCGTTATCTTACATCATCATATATATAAAATAGTACACGCAGAAAGAAAAACTGAAGTACATGTATTTGCAAACACGTTCGTGCTTTCAGGCATTTTATTACTGTAATTTAGCGTTATAATTAATACAAATAATAATGAAATGTATACATGTATCACGTGTCGCTTAATTGCCTTGTTTCATACCTGTACTACTCGATTTTATTTCTTATCACAAAATGTATTTTCTCCAGGGATGCTCTACCAAAGCCTTGAACTTAGCTACTAACAGTGCAATAATATACCCTGCCAATGTTTAGACATTAGGCTTGTCGCGTCGTTAAGTGATGTTGGTATTTTTTGGTGAATAGTTTCTTTGATTAAATGATTATCTGAACAGAGTATAAGATTTTGCTGACGTAGGCGGGAATCTAGATTACATCGTTTAAACCAAGTCGGCTATTACCTGACAATAAATGTGCATATGTATTCATTTATACAATTATAAAGGAATCTTATTTTCCGACAAGGTTTATATTGACGGGCAATATGCTTTGACACTTCAACATCGGTACACCTCGTGAATAATCGTTAATAGTCTTACAATCACCGATGTTTTTAGTAACTTTATCCTTTCATAAAATTAAGCATTTTGATAAACTCCTTTTTAAAACATTTAACATGCCATGCGCTGTCAAAGAAAGTAAATATCAATTGGAAATTCGTGCGTTGATATGAAAAACTTTTTAAGTTAGTCAAGTTTGTATTTTTACACGACATAACGTTTGATCAAGACTTTCTTTTTCTGTTAAGAAAGACATAATAAAGCTTAGTATGCGTAACGGTCGATTGCTTAACTCGGGTGTCGTCTTGCACCTGACCATGAATGAGTCGTCTGTACATACAAGTCATGCCGGTCATTCGTTATATGACTTTTATCTGTGTTGGTCCTACCTTTAAAATACATTAATTATAAAATCGATTTATAATTTACGCTTGTCGTGCAAAATAAATTAATGGTGGTTATTTTACCTGTGCTAGGCAGATATTAAAGTAAAACTGCGTTTTCTTTGAGATTAGAGGTGATCTTGTTACTAGCGAAGTTATATATTCTCTAAAATAATTGTTACACTGCCAAAGTATAACCTTGAAGCATTGTATAGTAAGATAGGAAAATAATTTCAGGTGAATTGCTGCTTTGGTGTTATTTACGGAAACATTGTATATGATTTATGATTTTTTTTCTTCCGTTTTTCTTTCTTTGAGAAACATTTTACATACCAGATAAATAAAGTAAACTTTTAGAGGTAATTTAGCATCGGTGGACTATGGTAACTGAATTAAAGTATCCGGGAACCTTCGGGTCTTGCAGAATTATAAAAAAACATATATAAAAAATCCTACATTTTCTATTTTTCAGCGTTTTGAGAGACGCTGGCGGCTACAAGTACTGGGACACCGGTCGTGGTATCTACCATAACAAGGACAAGACCTTCTTGACCTGGGTTAACGAGGAGGACCATCTTCGTTTGATCTCTATGCAGAAAGGTGGCGATTTGGGAGGTGTATACAGACGTCTGGTCAAGGTATAACAACTGTGTTTCTTTAATAAAATAATCATCTTGAATTTCAAGAAAGAGTGACTAAATGATTAATCCACTTTTCGAGAATACCTTAACCGAATTTTGAAAAGTAAACTAGTGTATATACATATATATTCACATCTTGTCTTATTTCATTACTATAATATAAGTTATAAGGAATTCGTATAGCTAATATGATAGAAATATAACTTATAATATCTGACGGGTTCATTCACCTTCTAATAAGAGAAAACCTGTCTGGCAAGGATTTTAAATCAGTATTCATTTTTGCTGTGTTCACATGTCGCTGATAATTACAGCAACAGTATAGCACAGAAACTTGTTTGTTATACCTCTGTCATAACGGATCTGTTGCAGGAATTCTGACAAAATATATTCCATCTTTCCTCCTACACTTCCGAAGTTAATATTCTGTAGTTTGAAAACAGGTAGTTTGTAGCTGGGTTCTGGTAAATATTGTTTAGTACAGGGAAAATATTACAATACCTGGTACTCATCACAGGTAAATTCACATGTGTAGCTGATAAAAAACGGTTGTTTAATTCAGCAAAGCTAAAGTAGTGGTACTTTTTGTTTTACAGACCAGATTGTACTGTTAGTAAAATTTAACATTGAATGTTAATGTACAACACTTATTAAAGCTTGTAATACACCACAACCGTACAATTGATTTATTTGATTTGATTTGATTGATTGATTGATTAATCCTCATCATTTTATTTCTTCCAGTTAATATATACAACATGTACAATTATTTCTTTAACAGTATTAAGGTCAGTTACGATATGTAAGGATATGTGGTGTTTTGATTCAAAGTTTGTCCATAAAATGTCTTGTCCGAAAACGAAGAAGACACGAACTGATCCATGGATATTACTTTTGTACCGACAGCACAAAACCATTGTTAGAAATCATAGTCTGCTGGTATAATGAAATCTACATATATAATAGCAATGTTGTACTAATCAATTTTCCAGGCCATCGGTGAGTTAGAGAAAAAACTGACATTTGCTAAAAGGGACGGCTATGGCTACCTTACATTCTGTCCATCCAATCTGGGAACCACCCTTAGAGCTAGCGTACACATGAAGATACCAAATGTATCTAAACAACCAAACTTCAAAGAGGAGTGTGAAAAATACAACATTCAACCAAGAGGTGAGTACTGTTTTTTGTATAAACTTAAAACGTTTGTTTATTACTTTTAGAATGATAATATGCATGTGATTTTTATCATTTTCGTTTAACAACAGTTGTAAATGCTGTGTGCAGCTATAAATAAGAAGTAACAAAAATACACGATGTTGTAAAGCTTGTTAAACAGTTGTTTTGCAATTTTTGTCGAATTATATATCCAGTTTGCTCAGTTATTGTGGAAATGTATTTTTGTTTCTGAACTTGGGGAGTTTGGTTTCGAAACGGCCAGTAGTAGAACTTAATGCTGTCTTGTTAGGTGCTCGGGAAAATAGGTCCGGTAAATACCGGGAATATGATGGCAAATAGGCTGTATATTTACCGGAAGTCAATGTGAAAACAATCCGCCTACGACCGAAAACACATATGATACCAGTCACTTTATGTATTTTTTGTACACATTTCAACGGCATGAATTCTGTTTCCAGGTATTCATGGCGAGCACTCTGAGAGTGAGGGAGGCGTATACGATCTGTCAAACAAGCGCCGACTTGGTCTGACTGAATACGATGCCGTGAGGGAAATGTTGAATGGCGTTTTGAAATTGAAGGCATGGGAAATTGAACTTGCTGGAGGAAAGAAATAAAATGTGTCCTTAATAGACATTGTATTAATCGTGTGACCAAGATACTAAGACAATTTCATTAAAAAATGTGTTTAGACTTATGTTCTTTCAACTTTAACAAAACTAGAACTTGACATCAAAATACGTCCGTTTATATTAATGGATAATTTGTTTGATTTATTATGCATTCATTGAAAAATTATGCAAGTGACTATTTATTATACAGAACAGAGACTAGGATTTTTTTACCAATTCCCATAAAGTGTCAATATTTGTGTTTAGCCTAGATTTCCCGAGTCGGACTTTATAATGTTTGCCTGAGTTATAACTAACTACTCTTTAAACGGTTGTTATGTAGCTTTCTTTGTGCTAGTTATACAATACGTTATTGTAAGGGGTTATCTGTGATTTTGTTGATTTACCTATTTATTTTTTTTCCATTTGTGACCTAAGAACCAAAGAATAAAAGGAGCAAAAACTAAAACTGGTGTTATTTTCTTGTACCACTTTATCATTCACCAAGTCAGGATATGTAAAACGCTGTTTAAAGCGGTGTTAGATCACCATAACTCACTGGTTTTCATTCTTACTTCACCTTTCAAATTGGTGTCGAGCGGTGCAGTATTGCGTATGCAAAACACGGATTAAATAATATGCCATTTTATTTAAAGTTGAGTAACGGACCCATTTATTTGTCAATATCTTTTATCAATATTCAAATACTGAATTCAAACCTTACAAAAGATTACGAAAAAGAGAAACTTGGTACAGATCAAAACGATTTACTGACATTGCTATAAAAAACTTGAGAAAATATGAAAAGATTGTAATAACAGAAACATCTTTAAGCCTTTAGGTTTATGGAAAATTCACAAGGTCTGTCTAAAACTCCATAAATTTTTTTCTTTAAATAACAATCTTGTGACTTTTGTCTTTATACCCGCATTGGTATAGATAAATCCTGTATTTATACAAAAAAAAGTTAATTATATACTTTTCTCCTTTTTTACCTTAATATTCTTAAGACTTCTTTAATTTTGTGTATATAGGCTTAACTAAGAAGACAGAAGTCCGGTAAGATACTGAAAAAATGTTCCACTGAAGTGAAAATATAAAAAATAAAAATGCACTTTTTATTTCATCAATCTTTCTCAATTTTACTTTTATAAGTACAAAAAAAACCAGATAAATCACTTCCTCGATTTTGAGCCGAGAATGATGGGGAAATTTTATATCGGATCAACATTCTGGCTGTAAAGCTATCAACCAGGCAGCACTGTATCACATTACTATTTAAACCAACAGATAAAAAGTTTATCCAATCTAGTCATTGGTAATCGATCACCAGTAAGTATATATGTAAGTAGAATTATTTTCAGAAACAAGATGCCCGACTTCAATTGTTTAAAGGTATTGAAAGAGATTATAAGAATCTTACACCGACTGCCGGTACAGACTTGAATATCTAGCTCCAGGGTAACTGTTTACAGCGGTAACGAGGCTCTGCTGAGTTTCCGCTAAACAGTTACCCGAGAGCTAGATATTCCCGTCTGTACCAACAGCCGGTGTTTGATTCTTTTTCTTGCATATTGGGTCAATTATTTTCGGAACAGAAATTATGAAAACTGATATTCTCATTACGCACCTTTTTCTTATAGTAGCGTATGAACATACAACTTCATTCATAACGGAAAAATGGCGTCATCCTAAGAACGCGATTCATTCATAAAATTCGCGCGTCAATGACGTCATTTAAAGCACTCGACTTGTCTTACATTTGGGGGTGTAAGACTAATTGATTAAGTTCCTCACTGAATTTAATTTCACGAGTTAAATACCTGAATAAATTTATATTATACGAGCCTCTGGCTAGTATAGTAGTGTATATATACTATTAGTTAAATGAAAAAAGATTTTTGACAGGTTATATATGGCCCTTTATAATACTGCACGTGTGTAACGTCGCTATTTTTCTCTAAAAGATGATGTTTGCAGCATTATAAATTCGTTATAAAGATTGTTGACAGGTTATATGGCCGTATATAAACGGCTGTTTGCAATATAAAGATCCGTTTTATATAGGGCCATATAACCTGTCAACAATCTTTATAACTAATAATATAAACGGATGTTTGTATATATAGCCCTAACTGCTAAATGACAACAACAAGAACAAAAACACACACCTAAAAAAACACGATCGACAGCAGCTGTGTTTATAATTTATATAAACATCACGATTAACCAATGAAAAGCGTCGTTACAAACGTGAGGCATAATATTTTTTATTGAAAACGAATTTGTTTAACTTAGTATACATTGTTGAGTGCAACGCTGTTCAAAATATATTTGACGAGAACACAGCTGTTAAACCTATATTGGATGAGGCGGTAGCGCCAGTCAGGGACTTCAGATTCTGTTATGTGAGGAATTTAGTTAGGTTGCAGGTCGGTGTTTCTACTCGCTTGAGGGGCACTTTTTTAACGTCTCCCTCCATCAGTAAAGCTGGAAAGTCGCAATTTAGTCGCCATATGGCCTTTACTGTGTCGGTGTAGCTTAAAAACAAACGAAACAATCATACAAAATCACACCAATAATTAAGGGGAAAAGCACATTAAATAAGAGAAAACACTCAAAATCATTTGTTTTTGTATCAAAGAAACAATTATTACTTCGAGTTAAATATGGATTTGATATCAAGATTTAGATAGAGAACAATATAGATTTGATATGGAATTTTTGGACTCGAAAATTTTTTTATGTGTGCAATTTTTCTCACACCTTATAAAATACAACAAATGAACTTTCAGTGTTTGTACCACGTGATGTTCCTATAAAAATGGATCCAGTCTATTCTTCAGCGTCCATCAAATCCCTATAAATCGGATATTATATCATACGCCATATAGCCTCGGTTTCAATGTCAGAGTCCAAATGTCTATATCAAATGCATATCACGCTCTACCTGGCCTTCATTTCATTTCCACAGTTCAGCAATCAATATTAGTTCCTAGTACCTCGTCGGATATAGGTTTAACAGCTGTGAACTAGTCCAATAGAAATCAGTATTGTACTCAACAATGTATAATCACTTCATAATATCACATACCCAAAATATATGCACATTAAACAGTCCAAAAGAAACTTTCTTTATGCCACAGAAACGAAAACCTTTGCCTTCTTAAAAAAAGGGCAACCATGAGATTTATAACATTTAGATAATGCAGTTTAATCGCAAATTGTGTTCATTACCTGAAGAAATAATCGCTGAATGAGAAAATATTTGTCATAATAGTAGCAAAATGTAAACAAAGTAGTATTTTGGTTACCTTACAAAATACTTAATCACTAAAAACTGTACTTATTACTGAAAAGTAACAGAAGCAAAAAACGGTTCAGGTAATAAGACAATGAGAAATGTTTTGGAAACTATAATAATTATGATATAAAAAATAAAAAGCTTTTGAGAAATAAGAATAAAATCATTTTAGGGCATAATAAGCCTTCAAGCTTGGCAATGGAAAGGTTGTGTAATGTTTATTGTAATGTTTATGATGTCACTTCCGTGTTATATCGTTTTGACGAAGTCGCAAAACAGCTTAGATGTTTCATAACTTAGCAAAATCTTCAGAAAAAGCAAAAAAAAAAAAAAAAAAAGCAAACTGTGTTTAGAATAATCTCTCTGTTAACCGCGAGCTAAAACCACGTAATTAAATTAATTCAAGTAAACAGTGTGATCTGTTGGCTAAACTTGGTCATAAGCAAATTAATATAACCGCAAACATTCTGAGAATTGGGGATATAGTTATCAGGACAAGTGACATTGTGAGCATCAATGTCCTCATTCTGTCAGACATGTCCGCATCAATATATTCCAATCACTTCTTGCAGCTTGATAAAGTTAACGTTTTACATCAGATATATCCCCAGTCGTGAACAATATGCGAAATTACATTTAAAGACCAAACAAGACCTCCTTGTCTTGTCATAACATAATTATTATACATTATATGTCATTTTGAAAAAAAATCAAACGTTTTGTGGTAAATTTTTGTGGTAAATTTTAAGAATAAAGCCTACCGTATCCGTTGTAATTTGTGCATGAAAATAATTTCCATCCAACATAAGTTCGTGACAGGTCTCTAAAAAGAAAGAGCGCAGCGAGAAAACATGTGCTATAATATTTGACCTTCTTAGGCTTAACAGTATGAACTTTTTTGCACGTGCTGTAATTCTTCAACTATAACAAATGTTGACGAACGTCTAGACTAAAATGTAGCTATGGCAACCATTAAGGTACTTCTTAAGATGGCTTTTCATAATTTTGAGATTTTCCCCGTTTGAATATTGCAGTATCTTTAAAGCAGCACGCCTACAGATTCATGCTCATTTTCATGAAAGTTTTGAAAATGTATTTAAAAGTAAAATATGGTGAATGAAGGAATCAATTTAAACATTACAAACAGCACTCACTACTCAAGTGAATTGCCAAAATGGGGTCAACAATATTCAAAAATAACCTTTAGTGCGTCAGTAACGCAGTAGAATAATGAAATCGCACATGTCATGTAAATTATTACTTTAATCTTAAATCTTTTAACTTTTCCAAAAATCTTAGTATATTTTTCTTAGGTTTCATTGTATTGAAATAGATTTGCTCATCTGGAGACATGCAGCTTTAAGACAACTACTGATTAGACATAATTTACATATCTTCCGGAGATTTCTTGATAAATCAGTACCGATATTAATACAAATATAACCACTCTTAAAGTAATGTAGAAAACCAACGTCAACAATGATTTCTGGAATGCCTATCTTTAAAATCGATACCATATTCGTTTCATCAACTTAAAGTCAAGTATACGATCCATACTAACGAGATTTACTGTGGCTCATAGTAAAGCAAAAAAAAAAAAATAAAAAAAAAAAAAAAATATATGTATATATATATGATTATGTAAAAATATCGGTTACAATGACAGATGATAACCAAGGGTAGGTTGTTCGGAAACGGGACCGGTGACGCCAAATTTCATTTGCTTTAAATGTTTCTGGTATCATATTCTAAGATCATAAAGTATATAACGTATTTTTCCATCTGCTATATGTCTATATGCTTTTTTATGTTTGGTGTGCATTAATTAATAGTTTCCTATATGTTACACGCTGACACACTGAACCATCTTTTTCTGTTGCTTTTTGGCAAATAACTATTACAGCTATAGTTGATTAATTATTTTTTATGCAAGCCACAATACGATTTTGTTAACGTTTTGCTACTTATATGAAAAATAATTTCACATTTAGTGCTACTTGCTTTAAGTAACAAGCATCTACCATGCCCTAAAACCATTATTTACACGTTTTGATTTAACACCAATGTTTGCCATTTCTAAAGAAATAAGAATTTATTCTTTTCTAATGCATAATGTGCCTTTAAACGAAAGAGTAATCTGAGATTTTGTCTTTGTTCTGTGTAAA